GCAGGGGGCGGCGCGGGAGGGGTGGGCGGTGCTCCCGGCCGCCGGAGCCGGGGCCCGGTGCCTACGGGCCCTTTGGGCTCCGCTGCCGTGCTCGTCGTCCCGCGAGGGCGAGCGCGGCCGTGGGCATCGGGGCAGGCGGCTCCTTCCTCCTCGTACCCGGCTGGCCCGGGAAAGGTTCCGTGGCGTGAGGAGCTGCAGCCGCCCCGGGCGGCCCCTTGGACAATCGCCGTGCTTTGCCGCACCAACGAAAGGCACAGCTGGGAACGCCCGAAGGTGTCGGCCAGCCTCCTCTCTCGGCTTCAGCCCTGGCTGGCAGCGGACGCCCGAGAAAGAGAAGGGGCATCTCAATCAAACGCATCATTCGTCTCTTGATAATCCTCCTCCTCTTCCACTCCAAACCCGTTACTGAGCCCCCCTAGCCGTTGCCCTAACGCCCGCCTTTGTGCAGATCGCTTATCCGCCTTGTGGCAGCCCCTAGACAAGTCCCTCCAGTCACAAGCAACTGTCCATCACCAAAGGGCTTTTTTGGGCTAGGAGGCCCAAGGCAAAACATGGCCCAGTCGTGGTGTTTGTGTGCAAGAAGGCTTTGTAAGAGAGGACTCGCTGCCTCGTGCTTCAGCTTCCTTCGCGATTGTCTTGCACGGTTGGGGCCCGCTTCCCGCTTGTACAGAACCTACCGCAAGGTAATCTTTGCTCGCGTTTCTCTTCCTTTCTTTAGTGACTTCAATCTAGCAGACTACGACTACCTGCCAGTATCTTCTGAAATCAAGGAACTCTTTGAGTACATCAAGAGGTGAGCGGGAGGGGGTTTTAGCCCTCTCTTGGCTCTCCTTTTGTCAGTTGGTGCGGCAAGTCTTGCCGGACGGTTCACAGTCACCCACGCTGTGGCGGTGTTTTCTTGCCAGGTACACTCCCAAAACAATAGAGATCGAGCACAAGCTGCAGCCTTTTATTCCAGACTTCATTCCTGCCGTTGGAGACATCGACGCGTTCCTAAAGGTACAGTTGCTTCAGGTTCCCCTGTACCTCCCGCCGCACGAGCCGAAACAGAACGCGGCATCGGGGCGGGAGGGGCACCGGAGGCCGGCCCGTCCCCGCAGCGGCGCACGCCCTGGCCCTGCGCTGTCGGAGGTCACGTTCTAGAGACCTGGGAAACTACACCCAGTAGTGGTTCGGTCACCTCTCAAACGGCACGTAGGTGCTTTGGCCCGAGGGCGGCATTTGCCCTTGTCCAACACCTCGTGCTTTTCAGGTAGCACTGGACTAACAGCTCCTATGCAAGAGAGCGCGCCTAACCGATTCCCTTTAGGGTCTGATTTTTAAGCCGCAGGGAGGCTCTGTACAAAATAGCCCCAACTTTCCCCGCTTTGGACTCCCGTAGAAAACAGGGGCTCTGTTTATCCGCAGGTTCCCCGTCCCGACGGCAAGCCTGATAACCTTGGCCTGCTGGTCCTGGACGAGCCGTCGACCAAGCAGTCGGATCCCACCGTGCTCTCCCTTTGGCTGACGGAGGACTCCAAGCAGCACAACATCACAGTGAGCCGCGGAGCGGGAGGAGGCGCTTGCTGAGCACCGGCTGTAGCGAAAACATTGCGTTTTACTCTTACTTTTGTCTATGCGACCATAGTGTTGCGGCACAACTGATAACTTGGCTTTAAAAGCGGGAAAACCAAACCTTTTCCTTTAACCCGTAGCTTTAAACTGCAGCGTGTCTAAGCCTTGCTTCAGGCGAGTCTCGGTACAGGCTTTGGCTCGGTTTCCTTCAGGTGAAGCTTTGTTTCCTTTTGGTTGTCCCTGCCTGGTTTTACTCCTCGTTTTCTTTCCCAGCTGCTCTTCTGTCTGCAGAAATCAGTTGGTATAGCGCAGCTAGGAAAGAGAAAAAACGCATGGTTAATCGGGAGCGAACACCGGGTTTGCCAAAAAGCCCCCAGCCGCCACTAAAGAGCCTTCCGGGTTTGTGTTTCTGCTTTTAGCAGCAGATAAAAGTGAAGAGTTTGGAGAACGCAGAGAAGAACCCCAAAGCCATTGGCAGCTGGATTGAAAGTATCAGCGAACTGCACCGCTGCAAACCTCCTGCCACGGTCCATTACACCAGGTGAGCCGTCACACCAGCTCTGCTTCACCCACGCTCGTACGGCGTAAGCTGGGGGCAGCGGGAGGCTGGGAGCAAAGTCTAGGAGCGCCGAGTAAAACTCTCAGCCTGTCACCGAGAGGGAGAAGAGGTGCTGATTTTCAGGGTAGTCGTACCACGCCTGTGCGCAGGACCCTCGGTTTCCCGCTCTGCATTTCTTTCTCCC